CCTGCACACTGTCCTGATCCTGCCATCTCCCTGCTGCCTGCGCGCTGTCCTCATCCTGCCATCTCCCTGCTGCCTGCTCCTGTGCCTCTCCTGCCTTCTGCTGACCACCTCTTTCCTTCATACACATTGTTTGCAAAACTGCACCTATACTTTTAGCGTAATGTTCTGTAGCTCTTAACACTAATACTTCCTACTTACTCTTCTTTTACCACCAGAAAAGGGTCTGATGTCTCCATCTATCCTTTTCCTCATAGTGTATCTGTGAATAAAATCTAATCTATGTTTATCAAAACAGTATCTGGGCTATCAGATGAAGCTTCTAAAAATGTCCATAAATATGAAATTGTGGAGTGTAGAATCAATACCACTAAAATTCAAACAATAGGGCTTATTATTTGCTAGCTAATTTTTTTTACGTTGCCCCTATAGGTTTCACTTATAGTAATGTTTTTTCAGAGCAAAACGTTAGACCTTCTTATGCAATAACATTAGCCTAATAACAAACCACACAGGCTAAGTGGCAAATTAATTTCAGGAAGGCACAATTTATTCATGATAAAATGAGAATGAACCATGATCGATTTTACCTCACCAAATAAGCCTGGGTTTAAATAGAGAACTTAGCTTATCTTGCTAGTTAACGTAACTAATGTTGACTGTACCGGTGTTCTGTCGAGTTGAGCTACTTTGTCGAGGTAGGGAAGACATGCCTACCTTCAGCGTGCCACACGTGCTTCTAAAGTGTAATGCCCGGTACACACTGTGATTTCAGCAATCTTATAAAATCATTACCTATCACACTGTACGATACGGATCTAATAATCTTAGCTATGACAGGTATGCAGAGTGTACGACGACAACACCAACTCAATCATAAGATACGGCGCATAGGACAACAAAACAAAATGTAAACACTGACAGCAGGCTACTCCGTGATTTGTGATTGAAAAATTGACTTAAACAGAGTAAGTGATTACACAATCAGCTGAAATTTCATATCCTGTCTGATGCAAGAACTGTTCAGGTCAGAAGTAAAATTGAACCATTTATTTTCACAAGTATATAAAATGTTTGTATCATAATGTAAATTCTGAAGCGTCACAGAGTGGTCAAATCACTCATAGGTTATCTTGTTTTGACTCCCAAAAAGTTTATATTATGGACACACATTAGAATCTAATAACTAACTGAAGGCTGAGTTTTAACAATTTTTTTTTTTTTTTTTACATTTTAGGTATATTTTATGTAACATTAATGTCATGACTTGTTACACTGAGGGAATCTGGGTTTTCATGGAGTATGAAGTGAAGATCTATTCTTACCTGTTGTTTAAAATCATTATTAGGCCTGTATGGTATGTTTGGTATCTTTATTAAATTGATCAATTATAATCATGTTAATTCATGTATTGAAAGGAGTTTGACAGTATAGTCAGTGTTTAGTACTTCTGTAAGGTAAACATTACCAGGTTTTATTTATAAATGGCTAATGGTTGAGAATACTTTTCTAAATTATGAATGAATAATCAAAAAGTAATCAAATGTAATCAGTTACATTACTTTCATATAGTAACTGAAATAGTTACACTATTACAAGTTACTCTATTTAAAATGTAATTGTAACAAATTACATTTCCAAAGTAAACTTCCCAACACAGCCTACGTTTACCAATAGGCTAAACTCATTTTAAAGCAGGCTGAAAAATCCCAAGATCCCGACCCAAAATACAGGAAATTTAGAGCAGCTTCCCACTGCCATTCCTCTGTTAACAGCAAGAAAACAGACTCCAAAACTGCTGTTATTTTTAACGGAGCATACGCTCTCGCAGCACTTGCGACACCGGAGCCACTGTCCTGAACCTTGAGCTTCGGAGTTTTGGCTTCTTTATTTAAGCAATGGGTTTTCTCCACTGTTTTCCGACCTTTTTTAGCTACTATTAGCGAATGAGACACTTCATGACACACCACTGACTGCCAAACATAAATACGTTCTATTCCGATCTTTTTTGAAAATGTAAGATATACTGATAGCCTATTATTATTGGATATGCCAGGCAAGAAGTAGTCCGTGCCATTCACCCTTTTGCAGATCTCGTCTTTTAATGTCCCAAAACAAAGCCTTTGAGACTGATGTGGCACGAAATGCTGGGGAATTATTTTCTCCTTACTGTTAAGTTTGGCATCTTAAACAAGCGTCGGGAAATAGCTTGCAGCCTGTAGGCTACTCCGCACCCGTCAATGTTTAAGCGAACTGCTGAAACCATAATGTTTATTTGTAAGAAGAATAATTAAATCGTAATTAAACCAAAGAAAAAAGACAGCCTTTCCAGAACTTTGTTTGCCGAAGCTTGTTTAGCCCACCTCCCCCATTATTTTCCTTCGGATCTGCATCAATCTCATTATTAACCTTTAGTGCACTCAGTTCACATAAATCCATTATAGCGACGGAAAACAATCCATGGGTGCTATATAAATGTTCAATTCAATTCCCGCTTTGCAATATTGTCAAACTATTTTCATTCACTAGTAATGTGACATGCATCCACACAGCTGGACCTGCATTCACTATGCTCCATCTTCCTTCCAACCAAATGCCGAATAACTGAGAAGGAAAAATTTAATGGATTCTTTAATAACCAATTAATCAAGTTCAATCAAGTAATCATGATTTACGTCCAATTTATTTAGGTCCTGTAGGGTGGATAACCAAGGTATTGGTTCCTATATTGCAGTCCCCCTAGAGAAAGGGTTTATTTATTCATGAGTAGACATGTCCAAGATGAGTCTTTGATCCACTTAATACCATGACACAGCACAATTGCAGGAAAACAGGCAAGGATGACAGGACTTTTATAGTCAAACAAATCCTCATGAGAGATTTATTGAGCGATGAACAAATTATCGAAAAGATGTTCACTGGTCTTTCAGCTCCTTCAGTCTTCTAATTGCAGACTTCACAGTAACAGCAGATGTTGTGCTTAAAAACGAAAAAGAAAACTCCATGCATCACAACTGGGACCATTATTTGACAACTGATATCCCCTGTACACTTCAGCAATATGATCATATAGCCTTTGATAAGAAAACATGGAACAATCTTGAATTATTTCTATCAAGTGCAAACACTTTCTCCAAGCAGGAAACTTACTTGTATGTCCAAGCACCTCCAGCTACAGTCTTCATGCAAGAGCCACAGTTCCAGATGCCAACCGCCTCTCTCTTCATTTTCGTCTAAGAGAAATTAAACAGAAATACACATAAGACTATGCCTGTAACTAGGGACACACCGATAATCGGGTTAATACAGTGCTCATATACTCACTCATAAAAATTCTCATACCAAGAACCAATACTACTTTATTTGAAACATTATGTTAAAACTTAGCCGCGTCATTTTTTTTTCTTTACTGCTCAATCAGATTTTGGCATCAAGTGAGAGACCAGAAACATTTGGGAAGGACAAATGCAGAGAACACCAGCATTGGCAAATTAGCGAGTGTGTGTGCAGAGAATGTCAGCAGATTGGACATATTTTAAGATAAGGGTCTCCATTCTAAAGTATCAAGAGGTGGAAGGGACAGCACATCATCCAAAACAAGCAATTTGATCAAACATCTAGATGCACCATAGTGCAGAGTACACAGTTTGCTAATGTAACCAGAGAAAGACAAATTTTAGCACAAATTCTGGAGAAGCGAGAGAAAATATCTACAGACAACCCACTAGCAGTAAAAACAAGAGGCTCTTACTCGGTACACTGCCAAGTAAGTCCTGTCGCACAGTTAGAGCGACTGCGTAGCAAGGTCCAGTAGAGCCATATATCCATTTCAGTCTAATGCATCACCCTCAAAAAAAAGGCTGACTACATACAGTGACACATTAACGAATGTTCTTCACATTACAACTCAGACTTTCAAAAAGTTTTGTTTATATTTGGTTGGAAATGGCCTCATGACATGCATTTTATTACAATTTAAATATTAGCATGGTTACGGGTGTAACAAGGTCTTGTGTCACGAGACAAAACACGAACCATCAAGCATTGTAGGAAAATAATGGCGTACACAGTACCGTCATAGCTCTTTATTCTGGTGAAATATGATGCTAGATATTTGTTCTGTTCTTTACTGCATATGATGGTGATTAACACATTTCACCATACATCTGCATTATTTAGCATTTTTTGTCTTTCAAATAAATCAAATAAAAGGCTTCTTTACAGTAATATATTTCCTCTTTGAAATTTTCCTTAAAATATCAAAAAACACGTGTCTGTGTTACAGGTGAATAAAAGATCAGTCAATTCTTTTTTAAAAGTTCACACATTTTTCAACATTAAAAGGTCACCTTAACAGCTATAAGGCATGAAGAGATTCCCCAGTACGTGTGTGCATGGGGATAGTTAGGACTCCAGGCTTTTCTATTCATGATTAAATTGGCATCAGAAGGGAGAATTTTAATTTTTGTTCTTGTAGCTGCTAAATACACTCATTATTAAAGCAATAATGTTGTCCGCCTGCTACATTACAATCTCCATTTAAATAAATGTTTGTGAAAATGTTTAGGCTACAATCTGGGTTTATTCGACATGGATTGACGGTGCCAATGTACGCGTTCATGCACGTTGGACTTGTTGGGACCAATGTGGTTACTGTAAACTAAAATGAAAACAGACAAGAAAATTCATGAAGTGAAATAAAAATGAAAACCACACTAAAAGTCTCCAATCTGCTAAAAGCACTGTCACACCACCATCTTTTAAAAGATGATACTAATCTGTCCCTTCATCGCAACCAGAGTCCTTATCACTTGTGTTGCATGTGGTGTGCTCCACTAACTGAATTTATCTAGCATGAAGATACGGCAAATTTATACAGATTACTGTGCATCACAATACGCATCAATTTTTTTTAGGCATACTACTAATATGCTCATCGAAATTTGGGCAAAAATAATGTCTGTATGGTACCGAAAAGCTGGTGTACATCATCTAAGGCTCTGAAATGGCATAGTTTGTCAAAATAAAATTAAACAGTCAAGTTGATTTTGTGGAGGAAAATTGTTTGGATCAATCAATTGATAAAATAATCTGCAGAAAAAGTTAGTGGCAGCCCTAACAAATTCTGCTAACCTGGGGATTTCAACCAGTGACCTTCTGATCACAGGCACAGCAGCCTAGCCTGCTGAGCTACACACCAACCTCATCGCATACTTAAAGTATGGACTATCAAACGACTGAATGCCTTTATCATTGCACAAGGTACAACAAAACTGGAAGACTCTCTTTGTAGGTGCATGAAAGAAGAGGAAAGATACAAAACAGAGAAAAAGAACAGAATATAAAATAAACAGAATATAAGTGAATAGAATGGAATTTAATATACAAGTACAAAGAATAAAAATGTAACCAATGTAATGTTATATACTGCTGCAATGTACCTGAGCTCATGTATCCAAATGGCAGAGCATGATAAATAATATAGTCATAGATCGTGATTATCAGGGTCTGTATAAGGGCCTATGGACACTGTAGCACCACCATAAGTTGGGCAATATGGCCTATTTTTTTAAACCTACAAAATTTAAAAATGAAATAGGCAGAGTCTCAATCTCATTTGCAATGTTTTTGGCAGAAACCAAGGAATGTCTGGATAATCTTGTTTCTATGACTCAGTTCTGGAGGTATAGGCTAAAATGTAAAACACGTAAAATGTAAAAAAGCTGAAATGACTAATCTGAATGACAATAAGGGTCATACTTGAAAATGAAATTGATATAGAAAATGAGTTTAATGATTACTGTGAACACCTGTGTAAAATAGGGGGTAGAAATAATCAGTTTAACTTGCATAACTTCAAAAGTAATGGAAGTCATAATCCATGTGAAAATGGTAAATTACCTGGATTCAAATAACATTCTGAGGGATAGCCAACATGGATTATGGAGAGGTAGGTCCTATTTAACTGATCTACTTCACTTCTTTGAGGAAGCTACAAGACTTAGATTTCCAGAAGGCCTTTGATGTTGTCCACCGCAAACAACTCATACTAAAGCTCAAAGCTGCAGGGATTTTAGGAACTGTAGCAGCTTGGATTAAAAACAGGATAACAGACAGGAGGCGGCGGGTAGTTATTAGAGACATGTCACAGTGTGCCTGCACTCATAGTGGGGTTCAATTTTAGGACCACTATTGTTCCTAATTTACATTAATGATATTGACACCAATACATAAACTGATGAAATTTGCAGATGACACTAAAGTGGGTGGTGTAGCAGATACTGAACTAGCAGCACAGAGGGTACAACAGGATCTTGATTTAATTAGCGACTTGGCTGATACCTGGCAGATAAAATTTAACAGACAAATGTAAGGCAATCCATGCAGGGAGCAGAAATATAAAGTACAGATATTTTGTGGGTTCCACTGAAATAAAGGTAGCTGATTATGAGAAATGATTATAATTATGTGTCTGTTGATGCTTCCATGTGCCACTCTCGCCAGTGTGGGGAAGCAATTAAAAAAGGCTAATAGGATGTTGGGATGCATCTCTAGGTGTGTGGCAATACAGCATCTTAATTAGCAGTTAGCTTAGAGACCAATATGACAAACACGCGCAGGCAGTGATTCCCCACACAAACCTTTCCGCAGAAAGAGCAGGTGTACTTCGCGTGCTGGCTTATCTCGATCTTTTTCACCATCTTCCTGAGAGAGGCCCCGTAGCGGGTACCGTACTTCCCCACTATCCCCACCTTCTTGGTGCGCTTGGCCTACGGTACAAAGTCGCATTAAAAACAGTTCGCACGACTTTGCTCGCAGTCAGGAACGACCTGGCTTTTGCTTCTAAACATGAATACGCAATCATGCAGAAACTGACTTTATCGTATCGGTTAATGTTAGAATTACTAAGCACTTCAGTTTATGGGAGGACGCGACCATGAAGACAGCATGGAGGCACACTTACGACTCTATAAAAAAAACTCACAACCGAAGTATACACTCACAACATCTAAAGCGACATTACCAACCTTGGATATAACATCCGAGTAACCACAGATAAATAATCGACAACGTAATATTTAGAGCAGAAAAGAACGGGACACCCAACAGAGACATTTTATTATTAAAATACCGAAGTAGCTTCAAACACGTTTTAGGTCACATACTAAGTAATACAATTATTAAAATAAGCAAACATGACGTTCTTTTAACGGATGGATTTGGATTTAAAAGATACTGCAGACAACGACTTCGAACTCACCATTTCTTAGGACAACGCTTCGGTCCAAAAAAGAAAGAAGGCCCTGCGCATGCGCATTATAATCAAAATCGCCGACTGGCATTGTGGGATATAGGCGGACCGCGTTTTTTCCCCTTTAATAAACAATATAGTTACAATACAGCAACAAAGGAGGTGTCATGCAATACATTAACATTAACAAAGCAAGGGGGAAAAAAACACTGCCTGGGGCTCCGGTAACTGAGTGAAATGACACTGGTAGGTGCCCGATGCGTGCCGGCTGCACTCGGAAAGCGGCCATGTTGCCCGATGTATGCAGGTGTTATGCCGAAAAACGTATCCCTGTTGAAAAAGGCATCCCTGCCGTAGAATGCATGCCGGTGTTCTGATGAGTTGAGCTTTTAGGGTTTTTTTGGGGGTTACGGTTTTAGGGGTGTTTCGGGGGTTAGGGTTTTACGGGTTTTGGGGGGATTAGGGTTAGGGCTATCGATTAGCACTACGGTAGCAACTCGACAAAGTAGCTCAACTCGTTTCAGATCAGTGACCAATCGGTCATTTAGAGACAGGCATGCATTCTACGGCAGGGATGCCTTTTTCGGCATAACACCTGCTGCAGGGTCGGTTCCCCGCATGCGCCGCCATGTGATTGTAAAAAGACTGTTATACTTTATAGCACAGTCGGAGCCGCGTTGTCTGTTAGTTACTGCGTTGGAAGCCAGCGATAATGTCTGAGTTTTATGCAGCCCTCCGAGATTATCTCCAGAGCCGAAAATTTTGTCTACAGTTGGACAAATATTTGCGAAAGAAAGTCACCCGGGTGGCAGCAATCTGTCTGTAACCCTTTAGTCAATCACATATATTTTAATAGAAACAGGTTTGGAGCATTTTGCACTAACACTAGACAATATTGTATATAATCATTATGAATGAAATTAGATTTAATAAAATATAGGTTATATGTGCCATGCATTTGTGTGAAAATGTCCTATACTGTATGGTGGTATCTGATTTCCAACCCAGATTCTTCAGTAGTGGGTTTGGTGAAGAGTTTTGATATCTTTTAATAACATTTTTGACACCATAATTTCAAGTGGTCAGTGTTTAGTATTCCACAATGAATTAAATCTTAGTGTTTTATAAGTGAAATGTTAATGTATTTTAAAAATGTTATTCAAATTTAGAGATCTACACATATCCATATTATCACACATGTCCATATTATCTGCTTTTCCATCGACATCCCCATCTTCCTGAGGTGATGAATGCATGTCCCGTTGGAGAAGATTTCAAAATACAGGACCCGGAGGATGAATTTGAACAGAGACTGACTGACATTAAAGCCCTGGGTGTTCTATAACACATCTGTAACTGTATGTGCTGTACTGTAGTATACTAAATTCTTTTCACTGATCCTTCAGGTTCTTAGCAACATTGAGCAGGCACAAAGTCAGCAGAAAAAAAGCTTTTCTGAAAGAAAAGGTAAGCGAGTGAGACAGTGTACCCTGGAAGCTGGTGATGGGGTGCTGATAAGTGAGAAGCCCAATAAACGCAGAGTGGGAGACACACTTTTGAACAGGCACCAAGGACGGTTTACACTTACTTCAGTGTCAGCTAAAGGTGTGGCGACTATAAGAAAAGGCAGTGGCGACTTGCGTATTCATGTTTAGAAGCAAACATGTCCAGACTGAGACCTTACTACAGGTTCAAAGGTTACATTAATTGCATTTGTCATTGTTTTTGTTGAGGTTTATTATTTTACAATTTTTATTCTTCACACAAGTGACAGAAAAATTATACATACTGTAATTATGCAAGGTCATGGCAAAACACATAGAGGACCTTAGGGAGTATGCAGCAAGTGCAGAGTTGACAGACCATCAGTATGCTAGCCATGGTCCTCTATGGTTCAATGATTTGGGGGTGCTCCAAAATGAACTTGTGAATGACAAATCTATAACTTTTCATGTACAGTATGTTAGTCTGCTTTCTAGACACTATCCATGACCTAAGTGTCCTCAGAAACATAATAAGTTTTATTGCCAAGGTATGATTGCATATATAATGAATTTGTTTTGATGGATGTTGCCTAAACATTAAGATAAAGTAGAGCTATAAATGGAGCAAAAATTAAATGTTGTCATAATTGCTAGTTTTCTTTTTCATTTTTAGTTGAAATATGTCCTTCATAAGACATGTCCAGCACAAGAGCTTATTGTGTGGGGTGGCTCCATCTGCCTAACACGAGAAGACTTTTGGAGTTTGGGATTAAAGCAGGACATCGAAAGTAATGTAAGCAGATATTTGCTACAGTTTTTTGCAGCAGGGCACTGGGTGAGAGATTTCGTAAACCTTTCTGCACTTTCTGTGTTTGTAGATTGGGAATGCTTGTTTCAAAATCATTGCGGAATCGGCCCACAGATATATACCTCATACTTGCCCCAATTTCACTTTTTAATTTTAAGTAATTGTGGATTTATTCATTTTAAAATACTGATTTATAATACTTAGGGAATGGATGTCCACATTGTGGATTTGTATACAGTTCCCACTTGGAAGATGGTGCATGAGATCCAATTACTGGTGAGTTCAATACCGGTACCTCAGTACATTGCATAAATGCAGCAAACTCGAAAACACAAATTGGAAATGTAGAGTTGTATGGATTTATGGGTGTCCAAACCTTATGTTTACAGGAGCACATGGGCTCCAAAGATGCCCTGATAATACCCGCATGGAGTAGGCAGCATGGTGAAGGGGACCACTACACGCCTTGTGTACATTTTCAGTTATTAGCATTCTTTTACATAGGGATGGCCCATATGTTTGTTACTGCATATCATAACGATTACAGAATGTTTTTTACAGGTACTTTTGATAGCACAGAGAGGTGCTTTTCTTGGAGTCTCTGTGTCTGGATGATTTTGGTGATGAGACCTACAGGAGCATATTTAGGTTCATTCAGTCTAAAGAGTTTGTTGGCCTTATTATGGCTTAAGGCTGACGTGTAGACATATAAAAACAGTACGAAATTGCGCACTTGCGCACTTTAATGCGTGATTTTAGGGCGTAGTGCGTTCACAAACTTCACACTGACAACTAAGCTAAAATTCAGTGCACTGAAAGTACCCGGTTGGTGCACTGAAAACGGCCAGAAAACGCAGTGCAGAATGATGGACACTACTCGCACTAAATGGACGCCATTTTGACTACGTAACGGAAGGGGAGGGACTTTCGGCAAGTTTTTATTGTTAAATTAAGGCGGACAACACGTAAGCCCAGGCGGAGGCAACTGCTTCATATAAATCTAAGTAACGTTAATAAAATTATTTTACTGATGTATACTGCGGTGTGTAGCCTGTCACTCTCTGACGGCAGTTATAGATAATTTGAGTTTGCAATTATATCAACTTAGAAGAGTTCGCACACGTAAATGTTAGCAGTTTTTTAGCCGGTCGTAGATAGGTTATATTCTATACACGCAAATAAAGCCACAAGGAAATTCATTGTAAAGAAAACATGGCAGATATTTTGGCGCACTGGAGAATCGCGATCAAATGCTAGTGTGTCACTTCCGGTAAGTGCAAAACGTTAGTGTTCCATTTAGGACAGCACTTTCCCATGGTAGTGTGCACTACAGAAGGAAGTGCGCACTACGCACTACATCTCAGTGCACTGGCGCAAGTGCGCGATTTCGGACACACCCTCAGTGTCAAGTTGGGAAAAAGGGGATATTTGCACCTAACACCAACTACTTGTGTCATTGAACAATTACTGGAAGCTGGCTTAAATGTACACGTTATTCTATTTGATATGACTATGTACTAATACGGTGTTTGACCCCCTTTCGCCTTCAGAACTGCCTTAATTCTACGTGGCATTGATTCAA